TTTCGAGTATTTATTATTGATTTGAAAATGAGTAGCGCCTCGAATATTGTGTTTGAAATAAATTCGAAAAATTTATTCTGATTTTCGGTAAATAAAAGTGGGGCGTTACAGACATAATGGAGTAAAGGCATGAAAACAGATCTAACCTGCATTAAGTGTGTTGAGGCAACGGAGGACATTGAGTATTTGTTTGTGACCTGTCAGACAAGTGCTAGATGCTGGAAATTGATAGGGCTTGAATGGGAGGACTTCAAAAAAGAGAATTTTAACCTCAGAGGGTGGGAAAGCATATGTAATGATCCAAAAAGCTGCTGAATGGGAAGCCAAAGATTGACTCTATCAGTTTGCTTACTCTGGAGAATATGGAAGGCAAGGACCAACTGCTCGTTCAGGGGAGCAAAGGTGGTGGAAACTGAAGTGGCTGTAGACACCATGAAGGGTTGGATTGAGATGTTGGGGGTAGGGGAGCATGCTGAACAACCTGAGGGTATAGCAACTGCAACTGTGAGCAACATTTCTCAAGATGAAGAATTTTCCAAGAGGGTAGGACTTGTTAATTGTTCGTTCCATTTTTGTCGTGTTTATCGTGTTTATTTTATCTTTATTTTTCTCTATTTTAGGTATTTTTCTTTGGTTCTTGATCCATTTTGTGTCTTGTCGTGCATTTCTCTTGTTCTTTTTGTTTTTGGTTTTCTTGTTCGTTTTTCCCCCTTTTTTTGTCGGTGGTGATGTGCAGGTTAGGTGCCTCTGTCGGTTATGAATTTCGAGAAGGAGGTGGCCAAACGAAACCAATTATCTAGACGGATGAGTCATGGTCGAGTAGAAAAAGACGGAATTCAATTCTGAGTCCCGATGTGTGGATACAAGTCCGAAATCTGTAGCTATGCAACAGAAATTCTTCACTGCAGCCCGCGACGATCTTCCCGCGGCCGCGGTGAACAAAAGGAACCAGGCGTCCAGTTTTCCTCACCGCGGATGCAGAGAGGAGGTCGCAGCCGCGGGACAAGGTCCTGCTTCAAAAAGTTCGCGGCCGCTGGACGAGTCGCGGCTGCGGACAGCCTCTTCACCGTGGCCCGCAGGGCTCTCTGCGGCCGTGAAGGGCGCGACAATCAGATTATTATGTGCAGATTTTTGAAAACGAGGGCATTATGTTTGAAGCTAGGTTTTGAACTTTTCTCTCGTATTTCACTTCCAGAACATACTTTCTCTTAGTTTTTCATAGGGATTCATTCTTGAGAGTGAAAAAATTCCAAAATTGGTATTTTCAGATTTGGATTGCTCGTTGTTTATCGACATTGGATTTCCTTTTCATTGGAATATGAATGTGACGACTTGTTTAATTGTGAATGTTTATGTTGATATTGCTATGAGTTGCTAAATTCGTTAGCTAGGGTTAGGGACTTATCGTTCCGGTTTGATTTCGTTTATATCCGTGTTCATTGCTCAATCTTTTCGAGTTGTGTTAATCCTAGGATTAGATGATTGATCACCATCTTATGTAATTAATGGATTTCGGAACCGAAAGGGGAGAAATCGTTCGATCTAGGCTCGTTAAAAATAGACTTGTTCGTAATGGTATTGCTTATGTGTTAATTGTTTCAAGAATTACTCGCTTATGTCTATCCTCTTGTTACGAAGAGTTATTGAGGATAGATCTCTAGATGAGTAGTTCGTCGAGTCATTTACCTGAGCTCTTGATTGCTCGTTAAATGTATTGAGAACCAGAAGCGGTTGTCCCCGATACCCTAGCCCCTTTGTCACTATTTGAATTTGTGTTTTGAGTTGTGTGTAAAAAATCTTGAATTAGAATGTTAGGATTTTGTTTCTCTTTTTGTGATTGAATAAACGTACAATTTAATCCGGTTAACCTTCCTTGAGAGACGTCCCGATATTCGAATCTTATTTAACTCCGGTAAAAATACTTACAACATTAATCTACAAGTCAGTGCCCTAACTTCTTTTGTTGGAATAATGGGTGCAGAGCAGTAGCTTAGAGGGATGGAGTTATTTTGTGGAAAGAGATGGGCTAGTAACTTGTTGGAGGCAAACTTACTTGCAATTCGTAGATATTGAGCACTGCTGTGGGTAGGGGCTGGCTAACAGTGGAGTGTTCCATATCATCAAAGCCCTAGAGCTGCAGCTTTACATAAAGGGACTGTGGAGGGGTTGTCTGACTTGTCATGCTCTGCTGTGTTTGAGGATATTATGTACGTCAAGACTTTATTTAGTTTATGTATGTTTAGTTGTCCTTTTGATCTAGATAGTTGTAATTTAGCCATGCTGGCTCTTCAGGGGGGATCATCTCTGTTAGATCTGTTGGATAGGTGTGTGGTTCATTTGAACACTCCCGTGTATATTTTGAGTTTTAATGAAACTATTTACGTTTGGAAAAAAAAAAAATATTAAAAAAATGACATAATACAAAATCAGTGTAGAAAATTACTACATACAAAACTAAATCAATAAATATTTGTTCAACCCTTCCGTATTGATTTTCCGTTATTACTAATAATAACAGAAAATGAACGAGTCACTATTTACATGAACAACATTAAAATCCTTCACAATAACTGATAAACAATGAGGAGGGTAACAGAGAAGCTTTCACTAGAACTGATGATTCTCTTTAAAAATAAAATATAAAGATCATAAAAAAAAAATGATTTTACTTATCAGAAGTACAACATGTGTCGTCTTCGTTCACTTTTTTACTTGGTGAAGAACAGTTTTGGTTATCAGAGAAAACTGTGCAAACAGAGGCGAACTTACAGTGCCTGCATTTCCAGCGCTCATCCATTGGAGGATAAGTGGCTTCTCGTTTTCCAAGCCAAAACTCAAGGCAGG